TCTGGGAGTTGAAGTCCACTCATCTTAAAGTGGCCAAGTTTGGACAACACTGGGTTAGGCAGGCCTGCTCTTTGCCCACAGACGGCTGTTTTGTCTACTCTACATCTCACTGTAGAGTAACTCTGGGCGGTTTACAGTAAAATCAGAATAAACATGAATTAAAATAGATAAATATTCATCCATTCATTAAAATAAGCTGCAATAACAAACTTCCTATATAATACTTCCAAGAGGCTGATGTTAATTAGGTATTAATTAACTCGGGGGACATCTTCAAGGCGCCAGCCATCCTCAGGGTCAGTTGTATCTTTCCTCGCCCCCACGCAAGTTGGCAGAGCCAAGTCTTCACTTCCCTCTGGAAAATTAGGAGGGTAGGGGCCCACCTCACCTCTGGGGGGAGAGTATTCCATAGGGCATATTCCATTATGCTTCAGTGGGTAGTTAACCATCCCTGAAATATTTTCATTTTGATCCTAGCTTTGCTGTGCAAGTGGTGAAGATTAGTGGAGTGTGGGTCTCTAGAATCAAGCTTGAAACTTTCCACTATAGCCTGGGAGGTAGAGGGTTATGTTCTGCTTCTTCTGGATCACCTGAGCTCTGGACTAGGATTCTGCAGCATAGTAACTTCCTGATTTTAAAATTAACTTTTTAAGCATGTGAAAATCATAAACATCAAGGAACTTTGGGGCACCAGGGCTAGGAAATAATTTAAGTTCTTTGCTTTAATTGAATAAGTGCTTTTCTTCTTTCAGAAAGTTGCTTGTCTTCTTTCTTGTCTGCATGCTGCAGGTAGTTAATCGTGGTGATCCATATCCACAAGAAGTGGGAGCTACAGTTCAAAAGGTGATGGAGAAACTTGGCTATTGTAATCCATATAGGCTTGTGTGGCAGTCCAAGGTAACTCTGTTAAGCATCATTGTTTTGGGTTTTGGGTTCACTCAGCCTGAATCTGGCTTTCATCTGCCAATTGTTACAAAGTATGTCCTGGTGCTATACATCAGTCAAATAAGCTAGCCTGTTTCAGATGATGGGCGCAGAAGTTAAGCCTGGTTAAGTACTTACGAAGGAATATTGGGGTTGTAGGCTAGACTAGGAAGTCAAAAAACATAATGGAAGAAGGGAATGATACACCACTCACCTTTTGCTACCAAGGAAACTTCAAGAACATGTCCACAAAGTCACCAATTTGATTCTATCTCAGTGGGTCCAGCACCTGGCCACCCTTGTCTGGGCTCAAAAGCTAAGCAGGGTCCGGCAAGGTTAATAATTGGATGGGAGATTCTCACCAGACAATTGACAAAAACTTCCCAGGAAAAAGCAGTGGAAAAACCACTTCTGTTGCCAAGAAAACTGAATGGACTTGTCCCATGAAGTTGTCAGCAACTGAGCTTGACTTGAAGAAGTTTCCTTTGTAGTAGAGAAAGTAAATCTAACAAACAAAAAGGAGGCTGCACCCTCCCTCCCCATCACAGTCTTTTGGACATGATCAGGGTCAAACTCGATTTGTCTCTTTGCCTAATCCTATCAGGCCCAAATGGACCCTCTCTGCCCCCAGACAAAGCCCCCTGCAATCCCATCTAGACCAAAGAATAGAAGCCTCCTGCGATGGACGAATTGGACAAAGAGGTTCAAGGTCACGGGGAGAAACATTTCCTCAGCCCACTGCCTGAGCGTGAGAAAGTGAAGAGGATGAGACTGGCACCACCCTAAGGAATTCGTAGTGTTTAGTTGCAGACCTTGGGAGTTAGAGTTAGTCTGGTGAGATTCTGTCTTGCAGGTGGAAGCTAATAAAGTAACTGAGCTGTTCCAGTATTGTCTCGTGGAGTTTATTGGCTGAACCTGACACCTCCCCGCCATCTCACAGCACAGCCCAAGGGCAGCCCTGATAAAGGAAATTACGACATAGAGAAACCTCCAACTTCTATCCTCCATCCCTTGATGACCTCAACGTTCCATCTCCTTTAACAATGAACTTCTTCAACTCTGCTGTCCTCCTGAACGGACCACTTTGCCTAACACTAGAAATGACCCCAAGTACACTGACAAGGACCTGCCCAGCTTCCCCAAACTGGCCAGCATATCAGATCCCTAGGATTTCCAGCCTTGTAGCCCTCAACTTCTATAAACATCTTTGCTTTTCCATTGCTTGGGGTCCCTCTTTCTTGTAAAGCAGGCGCCCAAGAATACTTGCACGTTCTCCTGCATCAAATAATCTTTTGCATTACAAGATATAGTTTTGCATTACCAGTAAAGGCCAGAGCAAAATTCTTTTCCTTGCTGTGCTGGCTTTGGCCTAATCCATATGTTTTTAGACAACTGTCATCTCCATCAAGATATAACGCAGACCTTGTGGTTTAGTCAGAACCAGATTTGGGGACAAAGGTCCATGGCTAATCTAGAAGAATGAGTTCCCTATCTGCCCCTTACCACCTTTCTTGTGGAATGAAGGGAGAATGTTTTGGGAGGTGGGGTAGAGAAGGCATAGATTTATTAAAATAAAGTGTAATATTGCCCTTTCTAAGAACTCCTTCTCTCCTTCTTTGTCTTAGGTTGGCCCGATGCCCTGGCTGGGTCCTCAGACAGATGAGACTATTAAGGGACTTTGCCAAAGGGGGAAGAAGAACATTTTGTTAGTTCCAATTGCATTCACCAGTGACCACATTGAAACACTCTACGAGCTTGATATTGAATATGCGCAGGTCTTAGCCAATGAGGTAAAGCCATTATTTTTCTCACCAGTGGCATCCATGGTTTGCCTCTACCTCCTTAACAGGAAGCAAGTGTTCCCAAACTTCAAATAAAAAGGTTTAAGATTATTACAGGTTGGGTTTTCCCACTGCCTTTTCAACAGTTGAAATACTACACAAAGGGGCTGTACGTTGAAAGATAAAAGGTGCATGTTTGACTGAGCATGGGCTCAGACAGTTGAGGACACAATCCCATTTCTGATTAATTTTTTTTCCAGTCTGGGGCTTTCTAAATTGTAGTCGTTGGAACTACAACTCTCAGGGCGGATGTACGGTACAGCAGGTTGTCAGCAACTGAGCTTGACTTGAAGA